AGTCTGGAACTCAATATGGAAGATCAACTCTATGGCTTATTTATAGGGATGTCCAATGTAAGTGCAAATATGTATTCTTCCAGGCCGTCTCATTCCCAGAGTGGACAACTAATAACAGTTTTGTACATCCCTCTCGTCTTTCCATACAGACACAACTGCAGGGTTTCATCTAATGCACTCTGTAACGTGTAACCCATCCACATCAGCTGACATAGTGTAAGGAGCAATAAAGTCCATGTAACAGGGTGGATGGTGTTCTTTCAGAGATCGGTACGGTGTTAAATTAAAAGTCAATGTTGACTTAAAGCCTAAAGTTTTATGTTAATAATGTTACATTCGTGACTTGCCTCACGTACATTCTTATTTTCCTAACCCAACCAAAAGCACTAATATCACAAACATTAACCATGTTTTCAAAAGGCATTTCATACACATTCTGAATGTGTACAGGACGTGACAAAACGATGTCTGGAATTTTGACGACCTTGGGATGAAAATGTGGTTTGAAATGTGTGTGTCTATTAGTGGATACTGTAGCCTGCACCTAGCTTTGTGGTGGCAATGGCCTGTCTACCAATCAGGATTTCTAAAGTAGGTGATAACCAACCACTGGGGAAACCTGAATAATTTATCAAAATAATTATACTTGCACCTCCTAGCTTGTGGCTCCCATGCCTAAAAACAGGTCCTGTAAATAAAAATGTACCGTAAATTGTCTCTTTTTTTGTCCACCAGATGCTCAAAGACTCCTTCTATCTCAGTGAGTCCCCATGGGTGAGATAGTGGAGGGCAGTCATTTGACTCTGAACTGCAGCAGTGATGCTAACCCAGCAGCTAAATACACCTGGTACAAGGGAGAAGCAAACACTGATTCACGGACCCAAAAGGCATTTTTCATTTCACCTCTATCAGATTAGAGGATAGGGGCATCTACTATTGCAAGTCTGAGAATAAATATGGACGGATCAACTCTACAGCTGTTCACATAGATGTCCAGTGTAAGTAAAAAACATGAAAAAAGGAATACTTACTAATTATTATTTTTAATACTAGTCAGATATTGTATTATAAAATGTTGTTGGGAACTTTTTTCCTGAAACTGGGCAAAAGATTAAACAAAAGCATGAACTTGGCACAAAATTTTACCCGTTTGGTGGCAGCAGCAGAGAGGCTGAATACATTATCAGTCGGAGGAACACAGAATCAGCAGGTGGAGTTGGAGTAAGCCTCAGCAGCATCCAATTGTATCATTACTTCTCATACGATAGGCCTGTTTGTCAGATACCTTAATATGTTGTTAATTACTTAACTTCCATGTATATAATAATGCTATAAGTCTAAAAACTGCAACACTGTGAAATTTCAATAGGCAGAAAAATGGAAAACTCCCTGAAATAATATCCAGGATACAATGACAAGATTATTCAGATTTTTTAGAAGAAATGAGGTTTGGATAATTGCTTCAATTAGATTTTCCCCGACAGCTTTTATTTAGCATTCATCCCGACAGTACCCACTATACACACTTCCAGCCTCTCATTCCCAGAGCGTCAATAACTGACGTTTTGTCACCCCCCTCATCATCTCTATCCAGACACACACTATGTCTCATCTGTTTGAGACGCAGCAGGCTTTCATCTAATTCACTCCAACGTAACCCATCCGCATCAAACAGGCCTAAAAACGGGCCTGTAGATAAAGATTTACTGCAAATTGTCTCTTTTTTGTCCCCCAGATGCTCCAAAGACTATCTCAGCGAGTCCCCATGGTGAGATAGTGAAGGGCAGTCCATTGACTCTTAACTGCAGCAGTGATTCTAACCCAGCACCTAAGTATACCTGGTACAAGGAGAACCAAACACTGATTCAAGGACCAAAAGGCATTTTTCATTTCACCTCTATCAGATTAGAGGACAGAGGAATTTACTACTGCAAGTCTGAGAATAAATATGGACAGATCAACTCTACAGCCGTTCACATAGATGTCCAGTGTAAGTAAAAACACATCAGTAAATCACTTTGACACTGTGTATTTATGAGTGATCTGTTGAGCTTAGTTTTTATGACTTGTTATCTATTCATCCATCTGTACCTTTTGTTGTAGAATGATAAATAAATTAACCTTGTATCTTAGGCCGGAAGAAAGGATGTCACGTTGTTAAGTAGCATCACAGGGAGTTTCATGGATTTAAAAAAAAAACATTTCAAGACTATCTTAGATGTTGTAACATTAAGGTGGATCTATAGGAATAGGCCTATAATATTTACTGGTATGTGTCCATTAGTGTATCATCACCTCAAAATAAGAATTGTGTTTCCGTTACCTTAGACTGAGCCATTTTTATCTACAGAGGGAGAGGGTCCTCTTCCACAGAGGCTGCCATTTAACACCCATGTTTCTACAGCAGCCAAGCCAATAGCTCTAGATAGAACCTTTCGCTGATTTTGTGGCCTCCGTACTTTCTCCTACACGTTTGGAAGGCGAGCGGTATTCAGTCGGCTGCAATCTGCAACTTTACAGCTAGATGGCACTAAATCCTATGCACTGGACATTTAATACTATACTCACATAGATAGATAGATAGATACTTTATTTATCCCGAGGGAAATTCAAGTATAAAGTTATACACGGCTAGTGTAATCTACTGAGTTAAAAGTTTTAAGAAAACACATAGATGGATAAGCGTCCTGCTCGCGCCGGCGCCGGAATACTATACTCACATACTATACTCACATGGAATTTATAGGTATAGTTTATAGTTTTTTGGTGGCTGTAATCATTCCAATTGTTCATGCTGGTTACCTTTGTGGAGCAACTACACTTTAAGAAATGGATGTCAAAGGTCAGTGTGCAGTTGAAGTTCAGCTGGAGCAGATACATTTAGTGTATTCAGAGTATTAGTTTTATATAGTTCAAATTCACGTTTTGTGTTTGTCCAGACAGAGATTTTTTGCTCTTTGCTAAAGGAGGAGGGATTGCAGTAAACAATAACTATTTAAATGTCGATATAGCAAGTATTGGATTAAGATATACTTATGGTAGGTTTGTTGAATGATGATGTGTCATTCTGCATACTTTTTGTGATGTTGTAAAAAACATTTGTTTTAGATATTTTCATTCTTTCAGCCTACAGCTGTGAAGAGTTAGGAGTAAATGATCATGTAAATCCCTCTTCAAGTCCATTCTGATATAGTAAAACATGGCAACACTGTTTAACTAAATACCATTGATGCAAGCTAGTCATTACACGGTTGCTCCCCTGCCATGTTAAAAAACCTGCAACACAGCTTCATGATACTAGTTGAACATCAATAGATAGGACATCAAATAAATGAAATTGCCTGTTTATGTGGTATCAATGTGTTTCTTTGGTGCACCTCACAGTAAGGGGCACTCAAAACAACAAGCTAGGTTTTTTTTTATACAATTGTATATCTATACCTGTTATCCAGATGGTCCAAAGCTTCCCTCTGTGTCAGTGAGTCCCTCTGGTGAGATAGTGGGGGAGCGGCAGCTTCAGTGAATCTGACCTGTAACAGTGATGCTAACCTCAGCATGCTACTTATACCATGGTAAACGGAGGCAATGAAGACTCACCAAAAGCATCAGGACATGATCTTCACCAATACTTGACATTCAGATCCCTGAACACAATGGGGGAATTTATCTACTGTTGAAAGCCCAGAAAGAAAGAGGGGCGACACCATAACTTCCACATGTACATCAAAATTGTTTGTCACGTTAAGTCATGCTTATTAACCTAGACACTCCAATGCTTCTTTTGGCTTCCACTCCTTGAACTATGACTCCACAATGATCTAACTTCCTTAATTGGCTGATCCAAAGTCCTCTCCCTCAACTCAAGAAAGCAATCCAACTGTTGTATACCAGCAGGACTATGATGGCTTAGAGTCTTGAACATACCTGAACCTCAACTGCTTCAACAGCTGGGCCATCTTAGTGCACTGCTGGAAGTCAGAAACCTGATGAAAGTGTATCTGTAAAAAGTGGACAAGGCGATACAATCTTGAGGTCACCAATTCCGAGCAACACTGTCCATCCTACTGCTGGGCCTTAGAAGATGTGTGTCCAATCAAATCAAAATCTGAATCATTGGGATAACAGCCCTGGCACCCATATTTTACCCCAACAGTGACACCCAAAGCACAACCCAAGGCCACACAGTTCTATGGACAAGTAGGATTGATTGGCAATTCCTAATTCATTAAAGATAAATTTATAAGAAATTTGCATTCTATTGCTTTTCCTTGAATCAACGGTTGGTGGGCTGGAAATGTCTAAACTAGCACCCTGAACAAAGGCGCTCTTTGTGTACCCAATAATTTCAGCACAGATACATTATTAGAAGATACAACTTCATCACTACACTTGCAAGTGACCTTGTCAGCCATCACAGCACAGCAATATATAAATGAGGTCTTACCCAGTACTTTCGCCACTGTGGAACTTTTTGACCTACTTCTAGTAGATGTGACGGGTAAGGCTTCCCCATGAAGTGTTCAGCTCTCTTTTTCTGCAATATGTTGTTTTGTGTTCCTCAGAGTTTTAACCCACTGGCCGACTGCAATCCCCCAAACAAGAATGAACAGCCTTAGGAAAGGGACGTCTTTCCTACAGTTGTCTGATGGTTTGCCCAAGAATTTTTTTGAGCCTTATCTATGCTCCCCGACCCTTCCCTCAATGAAAAGTCATGAATTTAAACATGGCTGATTTAGATTCCATTTTGCCAACTTTTCCCTGGATGCAGAAAACATTCCTCAGGGAATGGGAGTTGAAAACCTTGCCAAGATGTAACCAGATGACCCTCACTACACGTTTGGTTTAACAAGGTCTGTCTGGCATCTTTTCTCATCAGGTGATCACCACTAGGTTGGAATCATCTGACAGCAATATGGTCAATGATTTTTTGAACACTTGACAAATAATTTATCTTTAGACTAAAGTTCACAAAATAATCAGTTTGTACAAGCATTAGGACCAGCAAAGTATTGACACAAAGTATGTTACACTGCCTTGAAACGCCTTGTTTTTTGCTGTTTTGGGGACGTTCAAGAAAAACTACAAGCAAACTACAGTTTTATTCATTCATCATTTACTATGCTTCTGTTCTATGATTTTTTGTCAAATTATCAGTTTCTAATGGACCCAAACAACCTGCAGTTCCATAATTAATTGTCAGTGTTTTTGTTTGATTGCTGTTTCCCAGGTTCAATGAAATCAGTAGCTGCTGGATCAATCACAGCAATTTTTCTTGCTATCATAGTCCTTTCTGCCTTCCTACTGATTAGGTGAGCGCTTCACTTTCACTGGGATTATATTCAGTGGTGCATCTTAAATTCAGCTGTTTAATAATTTCATATGGTGATTCATTTGCTTGTTCATTCATTCTCCGATCTAGAAAAAAGAGGTCATTAAAACAAAGCACAGAGCCGAGAAAGAGACCAGACAACAGAGCACAGGTGAGGACAAAGAGTTCAGGGATTAGTCCACTCTCACCTGAAAACTCCCCCCTTGCCATTAACCTTGAAGATGTTTTACCACATAGTCATGTCGTTACAAGTCAATAGAAATCATACTTACCCACTTAGCTATGTAGCAAAGTACTTGAACACTAACTGTGATGTTTACCCTTCAGTTAAACATAAATCCAGTGTACGCCAACTCTTCAGCAATAGCACAAACAAAACCAGCGGAGGAGGACGACGACATTTCCTATGCCAGCGTAAACTTCTCTGAAAACCAGGAAGATTCTCTCTACTCCAACATCCGGCCAGCCCAGCCTAACAGACACAAGCATGAAGAAGAAGACGAGGACGAGGACAGTGTGGAGTACACTACTGTCAACTTTAATAATTCCAGTGCATCCCCACAGTGGGTTCATTAACATTTGTCTTTGCTACACAAAGTTTGAAATTCCCACTCTTTTGATTGCTGTCTGCTTTTTTAAACCTGTCCTTAGTTATTATTATGTTTCTTTATGAGTAATTCTACATTATGTACTTTTTGTCATTCACAGATTAAGACATCGAGAGGCTGTGGAGGATTTATCTTCACTGTACAGTGCAATCATCAAAAACCCAAGACTATAAACACAACATGAATCAGTGGTCTGTTACTTTACAGTATTTGAGCAGGTGTCCACACTATCATCAGGTTATCACAAAAGTTTTCTTTTTCTTTTTTATAAAGGACGTTGGCCGTGCAATATGTTAAAATGTTAAAGGAATCTACACATCCAAAATGAGATGTTTATCTGCACAATGTGACATTATCTCAGGAATTCACTCACCAAGTTCCTTAAAAATAACTATTTACTAAACAGATGTTTATGCTCTTGTACAATGGTTCTTAACCTTTTAGAGTCACAACCCTCCATAAATGATCAGGTTGGTGTTCATAACCCCCCAGAGACTGTTCAGGGATTACTGTATATAATACACTTATAATGCATGTAAGCTACCAAACTCACACAGGAGGATAACTGCTGTGCAGACAGAACAAAAACTGATACAATTATGGCTACATTCACAGTTAACACTCAAAATGTCTACTTTAAGCCTAAAATAACAATAACATATATATACATATTACTGAGGTAACTGGTAACATGTATAAAAACTGGTTAACACCTAGTATTTAGTGTTTTTGAGTTCTTGTTCCATGTTGACTGTAAAGCATTGACAACACTGAGAGCTGCTCCTGTCTCTCATTCCACACTTTTTGCCAGTTTCCAGAATATGTATTTTATTTTATTCTCCACCAACTGTTCTTTAAGTTTAACTCTGTTTCATTTCTCAAATATTCTCAATATTCCTATTAGTAAATTTGTGTTTTGTTTAAGTACTCATCTCACAACTTAAAGACCGTAATGTACAATTTAGTGGCATCCCTTTCCAAACACGAAGGCACTACGCTGGAAAACTACTGTAGAAAACATAGAGACAGAAACAGAAACAATGGCTTGGTGGCCTCCACGGAGGGCGACCTGCGGTGCAACAAAAACATAACAGTTATTATTCTAGGTAGTTATACACAAATGAAAACATACCTATGATATTATATTCCATTTCGCAATAGAGCCTCCTAAAGTTACACACTGGAGCTTTAAATTGCTTTTTGTTACTGTGGTTGTGTTTTTTAAGCTTGTGAAATTTTGCACAGTGACTTGATTGTAATGATTTATGTTTAAAGTAATCTGATATTTTATTGAATAAAGATATTCAGTTAAAAAATCCTTTCTCCAGGCTGTTGCACCTGTCAGTATGTTCATGCAAGATGTTTAGTGTTAGAATTACGGCAAAATTGGGGGGGGCACAGCTCCCCTAAAAGGGACCTAAGCTTCACCTGAAAACAAAAAAAAAATTTAGTTTGTGGAATCTCAAAAAACTGATAATATGGTTAATGTGGTCATGTAAAGTGATAGCAAAGATGCTATCAGCCAGGGACGGACATTTGCTTTCCTGACCACACCTCAGCCAACCCTTTCCTGTCAGGGTATGACAGATTAGTTTTGAAGAAACTAGTATTGTGATACCAGACGATTGGAGATCTCCCCACCAACCTTTCTAATTGTTTCCACCTAGTTTTAGCACCAAAATCAAGTAGCAAAGTATGTCATGACTGACTGCTAAAAAGAAACAGGTATGAAGGCTCAGAGAATGACAGGCTGGAACCCAGAAGCACAACTGTAAAGCAGTAGGGAGTAGTTAGATCTGATATGGATTATGATTATGCATTTATGTGTACTTTTTGAATCTGTAAAAATCATTCACATCCTTCATTATTTTTATTTTTTCTATTAGCTACCTTCATTGTTCTATATTATTAATCTCAACAAATCTCAAAACATACATATTTTCTCAGGAAATCAGACGAGCTGCCATCTTCAGTTGTTACAGCCTCTGTTGGTCTCAATGGCTGATTATTATC